ATATAAGCTATTCTTAAATAGTCTTAGTCTCGAAATATATATAAAGTACGTTAGTTTTTAGATTTAGCTTTCTACTATTAAAGATTTATTTAAGACTTTATAAAGATTACTATATTTCTATTCGATTTATTAATTAAAATAGATATCGAGCTTCGAAAAAAAAAGTTCCGATCTATTTAATAGAACGCGAGATACGAATATATCTTCTAAGTACTTAAGAAGACTCTCGCTACTAAACTAGTTTTATAATAAGTTAATAAATCGAAGTCTTTTTATATAGAAATAGACTACTTTAAGTAGACTTTAGATTATATTCTTTTATAAAAAGAATCCGATAGAAAGTAGTATCTAATCGTCTACGACGGGTAGAAACTTAATAGGATTAAGCTAAACTATTCTATATATAAGAAGAAGCTTCTCGCTATTAAATATACTCTTCGAATCTAGATTATATATCTCTAGAATAGCTATAAGACGATTATTATAACTAATTATAAGAGTCTAAAATATCTAAATACTACTCGGACGTCTTCGAAGCGCCTTATACGATAGATTAATAAGTTTTTCGAGTTCGATTTAGATATTCGATATCGTAAAGGCTCTAAAGCTATTATTTCTAATACTATTTCTAAATAACTCGATTTTCTAGAAAAGAGCTCTACTAATAAAGTATAGATTTTTAGCGATATAGAAGTATCTCTAAATATCTAATAAATAGTATATTCGAATAATAATATAGACTAGAAAGATACTATTATAGCTTAATTAATAATAAAGAATAAATTCGACTTAAGTCTAATCTAGAAAGAGTAGCTAGTATATATTAAGAATCTAGATTAATACTTCGTAGAAGAAGATCGTCTATTTTGAAAGATTAGTAATTACTTCGCTTTCTTTATCTCTATATTATTCTATTAAGACTTTATTAAGTACTATTATAAATACTATAAATATTATAGTATAGCTACTATAGAAAGTATCGTTAAGGTACGCGAATAGTAACTATCTATAACGAAGGATATTCTTATATATACTTAAATTTATAACTAATACTAGTTAGTCTAGAGATAGAAGAAAAACTAGAAAGAACTATATTCGTAGATTAGACGAATCTCCTAATTCTTTAAGAAGTAGATAATCGACTTCGTTAGCTTACTATCGACTATACTCTACGGAAATTAATAGATTTTAATAACTATTAACTTCTCTATAAACTAGTTAATAGTAAAGACTATAAAGAATACTATAGACGAAGTAGTCGTTAACTTTCTATTCGAAATCTACTACTAGTATAGAATATTTTAAGAATTATTATTAAATAATAGTACTAATCTAATCTCGAAGATTATTAAGTACTATCTTAATTATATTAAGATAAAGTATCGTATAACGATCTTTTACTATCTCTAAACTAATAAGAAAATAGAAAGATTTAATAAAATACTAGGCGAGATTCTAATAAAGTAACTTATTAGATAATAAATTCTCTTATAGAATAAATATCTTCTATCGATATTATTTATAACTCGTATTAGATTCTATATAGTAACTAGAATAAGTTTATATAAGCTCGTCTACGGACTTAAATCTCGATTAATAGGCGATTAACGAGAATTTAATCTATTAAATCTTAATATTAACTTTATCTCGAGACTAGAATAGCTATATATTATATATTACGAAGTAAATAAGCTACTAGTCGAGAGAGAGCTCTACTCTTAAAGACTATAATTAATATATTTAGAAACGCTATATTTTTTACTTAAAGAAGGCGATTTTATTCTTCTAAATAATATATTAAAGTAGAAATTTAAATCTAACTACTTCGGACTCTTTTAAATTCTAAAGAAGCTATAGTTTAGTATATACGTATTAGAAACGATAGACTAGAAGATCTTACGTCTACTTATCTATAGAAGTCGCCTAATATAGTATTATTCGATAAATTTAGATAAGAAGATAATCTAATCGCTTACTAGAGTATAGTAAATACGACTCTAAATAGTTAAAGATAGTATAACGAAGTCTTCGAATAAAGTACTTTAGATATTTAGTAACGAGTCTAATCTCTTAATATACTATAAGCTATTAATAATATTAAAGTAATAATAAATATCGTAAGAATAACTAGAAAGTAGTTTAAGTAAAATAAAAAAGAGTCGTAGAGCTAAAGTAACGCTAGTAAATAGACGTTAGCGAAATAGAGAATAGAAGCTAATATTCTATAGCGCGATACCGATAGAGAAGACTACGATAGCTTATAAGAAATAAACTATAACTAGAGTAGCTCTCGTTTCTAATTCTCTAGAGTAGATTACTCCGTCTTTAAATAGATAATATCTTATTACTAGAAAGAGTAACGAAGATATTAGTACTTCGAGAGTATTAAATAGAATAGCTAGAATAAAGGTTATTTCTCTATACGCCTAGATTAAATAGAAATAAAGAAGTAGTAATAGACTATTATAGTCTAACTCTTCTAATACGCGAAGAATAGAGAACGAAGAAACTTTTAGTTCTCTCGAAACTCCTTCGATATCCTAGAAAAGAATAGAAAATTATATTTAGAATAAATAAGAGATCTTAAGAAATAAGAGTAATTCTATTAGATTATACTAAGACGCCGTTATATAAGATATCTTTATTCTATTCTATACTAAGCTACTCGAATCTATATCGATAGATATTAAGATCTATTCTACCGATATCGTAGAGTATATAAATAATATAGTAGGCCTATTCTATATAAATTATATAGAGAATAGCTATAATAAATTAGCTAAAGCTATCTCGAG